GACTCCTCACACGCTTCCCCTGCTCCAGCATAAGGCCCCTCCCACAGGACACAGTCTTCCATGAACTTCTCCAATGTCCTTCCCGTGGGCTGCAATTCTTCACAAACTGCTCCAATCTGGGTCCCTCACACACTTCAGGAACAGACTGCTCCAGCCTGGGCCCCCTGCCAGCAAACCTGCTCCACTGTGGGCTCCTCTCTTCATGGGCCCACAGGTCTTGCCAGGAGCTTGCTCCAGCATGGGCCTCCCATAGGTCACAGCCTCCTTTGGGCATCCACCTGCCCTGGTGTGGGGTCTTCTCTGGGATGCAGGTGGAGATCTGCTCCAGCGTGGTGTTCCATGGACTGCAGGAAGACAGCCTGCCTCACCATGGTCTTCACCCTGGGCTGCAGGGGACTCTGCTCTGGCACCTGGAGCCCCTCCTGCCACTCTTTCTTCACTGGCCTTGGTGTCTGCAGAGTTGTGTCTCACATATTCTCACTCCTGTCTTCTCCATCTGCAATTGCTGTTGTGCGGTGGGTTTTTTTCCCTTCTTAAATGTGTTATCCCAGAACCTCTACCTGTGTTGCTAATGGGCTCAGCCTTGGCCAGCAGCAAGGCTGCTCAGCAGAGCTCAGCCTTGGTCCATTTTGGAGCTGGTGGCATTGGCTCTCTCGGACATAGGGGAAGCTTCTAGCAGCTTCCCACAGAAGCCACCCCTGCAGCTCCACCCCACTACCAAAACCTTGCCATGCAAACCCAATACACATATGTATATTGAATGGGGAGCACGTACTCAGGATTAGGTATCTAGAAATGAAGAGGTGTTAGAAGCCAATGGTAGAAATTGATAATTCCAGGTATTGAGGGCTCATGATAATCAGGGGGAGGAGTGGTGGGGGGAAGAGTTGTATGGGTTTCTTCAAATATGCTAGTGAATAAAAGCACACCAATGAATTTTATCATGTGTGTTTAGGATATTCATGTCATTAAAGAAATCTTGCTCCAATAATAGCACAGGCCACTACCTCCCACAGCTCTTAAACATTAGCTTAATTAGGGAGCGCTCTACTCAAATTTTGTGTCAAGATTTAAAGACAGTAATTCTCTAAGTAAAAGATTTTATTGTAACATGTAATTTAATGCATTTTGAACCCAAGTAGTTTTGCTGCTTTTAAAACTAGTAATCCAAGGCTTCTAAAAATTTGTGCAGATAAAAATTATAAAATTACTTTACAAAATAAAAAGTACATCTATAAATTTCTGAAATCAACTGTATTATATTTAGGAGATATTTAATGCTTTTATGAGAGGGTTAAGGGTTCTCCTTTTTGTTAAAGAAAAAGCTTTTATTGAGGTAGTTATTTTTAAGATTAGAGACTTGGAGCCCAAGCTTGGACAAAAAATATCTCTGTCATACTAAGATTTAAATCTGTTAGAGTAGCTTTCATTTCTCCAGTTAATAGATTCAAATGCTTCACTTTTTCAAAAGTTAAATGTTTATGCCTATGCTGCATGTTGACATGGAACTGAGAATTGATTGGAGTCCATTGAAGACTATCAAATACAAGAGTTCACTTTTTATTCAGAAAATCCATGAGCCATAAATCACTGTGTTTTGCAGAAGCATTCTGGGGAAACATTACCACATCCTTGAATAGTACCATACTTTCCCTGTTGCTTAGGGTTGGAGTTAGGCTATTGGTCTTGATGGGACTTTCATCTCCCTATGTGTCGCTGTTCTTGTGAACAGTAAGGATGGTGACAGGCTTTTAAAGATCTTTAAATCTGATAGGTTTCACACTGCTGATCAGGCATTTGGGAGGCCGTTTAACAAGGAATTGGAAGACAGGAAGAATTTGATTGCCCACATTGATAATGGTGATGGAATCCCTTCCACTGAAAAAAATAAGGCTTGTTTATCTTGAAGTATGACTGTACTTCGCATTTCATGTACCTGAGCTAATTCAGGTATAAGAAATAACACAGAAGTATTAACACCACACTTTTTTCAGTCCAATTTAATTTGTTGAAAACTGACAGAAAATTAGCCCAGCAGGACACCACAAAATGTGGTTAAATGGCTGCCGACAGCCAAGCTAGTTTTTTAGAGGCTACACAAGTTTCTCTCTAGCCAGGCTGCTTTTTAGTATAAACAAGTCTGTATCATCCAGTGCAAAAAAACCAATTAATTTTCTTTTTCAGTAATTTCTGCCAATCCAGATGTACTGTCAGCATTAGGAAAAGAAGAGGTAAGTCTTTTTGTTTGTGAAGGCGTGATAAAATGTCATTGAAAAAATGAAAACAGTGTCTACAATTGCTACATTTTTCTCTGGCTACTCCAGTGATGGACTACTGCTAAGATATTGTGTATGATTCTTCAGGGACTGTTGTTGTTCTAATGTTTTTCTTCCCCTGTTATTATAACTACAAAAATGTCCTAGTTGTAATGAATGATCTTTTAAACAAAAATTTTTTATATATTGCATTTCATACTTGATATAAAATAATGTAACATTATGTGTTACACAGAATAGTCACTATTCTTAGATCTAGAGTTCTGTGTCAATAATATGCAAATAGTTCATTGAGTTCTTCCAGCCTTGGAAGAAATAGCAACTTAAGAATGCCTTAGGGGTAGCATTACACTATATTGATTGGACATTGGTATGCAACATGACCTCAGAATATTCCTGTCACTATGGCTTAAAAAACCCAACATTTTGGTTTTCTTCTTCCTAGCAGCTTTCTTCCGTCTAGTATCACTCACAACAGAGAACCCAGCTGCTGTTAAGTGTCACTATTAACAATTTGTTTGGTTACACACTTTAATTTGACTGTATTGCTATGGCATATTAGATCTGATAACCCTTTTTGTGGACTCTTTTGTTGAGGATTCAATTTTTTTTTCAGATGTTGCATATATAGAGCATATTTGCTTCTGTAGAATACTTTCACCATTCTTATTTCTTTAAGCTTAATACAAAAATTCTTATAGTTTGTATGGAAGGAGACAAAATACAAACAAATCATGGGTTTATATTAAAGAGACATAAACTACTAGAAATACCATTTTGCATTAGATAATGCACTAATGAAAGACCCAGTCCATTGAGAGTCCACTGTGTATCTTCAGCAGCGCATATAACTTCTGGCTGCAGTAGTTTTATTTCTCCTTCTTTCCTCTCCCAAATATGTCCATATCACTGAGGTCCATTTAATTCATGGATGCAATTAGTCCTTCTTTGCAGCATCTTTGTTTTCTGAGTGCTATACATTTTATGTTGGTACAATTAGCACAGATTCATTCTTGCAAATAGCTGCAGTGATTAGACAATGCAGCACTGGTGCTGTGGATTATTTCTCCTGCCTTTCAACAGATGAGCAGTTCATGTGTGTGCTCCATAATTTGCTTCAGGTAAAATCAACTATGTTATTTTACAGAGCCTCAATAAGACACTAATGAGGAACTGGTGGCAGTAACATTTTAAATAGCTCCAATTGGATTTAAAAATAGTGTGTCACTCTATAGCCATATCTCTTAAGAAATTCCAGGTAATTTTGGCCCTCTTTATCAGATTTACAGATACAACTTTACATAGACATGAGCCAGCAGCGTGCACTTGCAGCCCAGAAGGCCAGCCATACCCTGGGTTGCATTCAAAGAAGGGTGGCCAGCAGGTCGAGGGATAGGATTCTGCCCCTCTATTCCACTCACATGAGACTCCATCTGGAGTCCTGCACCCAGTTCTGGAGCCCTCAGCACAGGAAAGACATGGACCTGTTGGAGTGGGTCCAGAGGAGGTCCACAAAATGATCAGGGGGATGGAACAATTCTCCTGTAAAGACAGGCTGAGAGAGTTGGGGTTGTTCAGCCTGGAGAAGAGAAGGCTCCGGGGAGACCTTCTTGCAGCCTTTCAGTACTTAAAGGGGTCTTCTAAGAAAGATATAGACAGACTTTTTAGCAAGGCCTGTTGCAATAGAAGAAGGGGTAATAGTTTTAAACTAAGAGAGGGTAGATTTAGACTAGATAGAAGGAAGAAATTTTTCACACTGAGGTTGGTGAACCACTGGCACAGGTTGCCCAGAGAGGTGGTAGATGCCCCGTCCTTAGAAACATGCAAGGCCAGGTTGGATGGGGCTCTGAGCAACTGGATCTAGTTGAGGATGTCCCTGCTTATTGCAGGGTGGTTGGACTAGGTGACCTAAAAGATTCTGTGATAAAACAAATACTACAGACTGGGCTATCTGCAAACTGCAAGTTTATTTTTACTTTTTTATAGTTGCAGAAAGTAAAGAAAAATCTTGAAATGGTGCTGTCAGTAGTTCAAGTAAAGAATAAACAACTGGAGGAAGATCTGCAAAGGTAATACAATAACTTGGACTTATGAATGCTATTAGCTTTTTTACCACACATAATTTATTTTGACTGCCCAGGAAAACTATTTAACTGTGCCATTTCCTACTTCTCATGTTTCAAAGAGAACAGCAGTGGCATGAGGATCAGGAGCAGATCGTACTTTCTCTTAACAGAATTGAAGAAGAGACAAAGATCAACATTAAACAGCGTTCCAAAAAAAGGTATTTCTACAGTGTTGAGTTTTTATATTGAAGAATTTAAATATCAAGAAGAGCAAATGAGCAAACTTTTAAAACATACTCTTTGTTTTGTTAAATAGATCAAATAATAACTTAGTAATCCATATTTGAAACAGGGAAAATATTGCTACTATCTGCTAATATCCTGTGATTCAAGATGTTGAACTTAAAACAACAGAAAATAAGCTATTTTTTTACTTAATAGCTGTCTAATTATTTTATTGAATTTCATATTGTTTTGCTATGTTTTTACTATTAGTTTGAATGCTAGAGCATTTAAGGAACTGCAACATCAAATATTGAAACTAAAGACATATAAGGAAGAACTCTTGAATGCTCTGGGTGAATTCCTAGAAGAACATTTTCCCCTTCCAGAGAAATGTAGAAGTGCTAAAAATAATAAGGTAAGTTTTTCTTAATAACTGTTAAATTTGGAATGTTCAATTTCTATTTAATTAGATGTAATATCTTTTTTAAGTCAGTAGCATAAAATCTGCAGTTATATTTTGAAATAAATATAGTTCTTATAGCTGATCCTTTGGGTTTAACTGATATTTTTCAGGTTGGTTTATGTTATTTAAGGCTGTTCCCAGATGGGTATTTTCTTTTTTTAATGCATATATCCTTTACCCACTGAGATGCATAGCAATGTATTCTATTTCTTACTGAACTGCAAGCTGTGCCAAACTTGGAAATGGTGAGGGGTTCACTCCAAACTGTTCCATTTTCTTTTCTACTTAACTAGGCAAGTGGATTCATATTTTCCATGGCAAAGCAAATTTTAATTGTCTAACTATTTTTGGAACAATAATAAGGACAACTGTTTATAATTACAGTGTAGTTTGGAATGTTAACCATCAGTTTCTGTTCAGGCAAACTGGGCCAAAAATTATCTTAAAACTTTAGGGAAAACAGGCAGTCAGGGAGCATTTTGCATAATAAATTCAAGTCTGCAGTAAAAATAAACCTTTTGCCATTACTGTTTGAAAGAATAGTTACAAAAAAGCTACAGAAAGGTGGAGGTTTGTTTTTCTTTCAGACACACTTAATACAGAAACAGAAAGGGTTTCTTTAATCCAGTTCCCTGTTATTTCAGACAACCATATAATATAATTTCTTTAATATTATCATTGAGCTCCATTTTAAAACTAATTATTTCTGTTACTACTGTTTCTATTGGGACTTGTTCTAGTACCTCAGTACTCTAGTTAGAAATTGTCTCCTAACTTCCAGTCTAAATTTATTCATGTACAGATCCATGTATTCTTATGCCAGATTATCCTTAGAATAGCTCTTTTTCTTTCTTGTGTTTATTCCCCATATATATTTATAGACAGCAATCTTCTACCTTCTCTTTCTTTGTTTTCTTATTTGAGCTAGCAAAGCTTTCTTGTTTTTCTCCTGTAAGATAATATTTTTTCAATTCCCTAGCTTATCCTAATAGAACCCATTTTCTCGATGTGCTTGTACTTGGATTCATCTTTTTTGAAAAGTGGTAAAAACCAATATTATAAACAAAACTCCTAGCTCACAGTCATCTCAAAAGCAGTTGATTGCATCCCTTTGTTTTTCCCTGTTATTTCCAACTGATGAATCCTGAGCTTTCAGATAAAAGAAAAAAATCATGGTTTTGCACAGAAGTACATATTTTGCACATAAAAATACCAA